GTAGAACGGAAAATTTTAAATAAAGACTAAGTATGCATAAAGGCTTAAGTGGAAACAAAAGGCGGACAGAGGGTTTGAACCGTCAACCGTATTGCCAACCTATTCTCTTTGGGCTTTGTCACCCATAATTATGATAAAAAACTTCATAAAGTCTCTCCCATATAGTCTCGACATAGAATCAAGTTGCCTTCCCACAAGTTAATTTGCTAAACAAAAGCATTTTGAAAATACAAACAAACACAAAATTAGATTATATCATTGTCAAAATGATTTGCATGCACATTTTCATTTCATTTCACGCTACAGGGCACAGGAAAACCACACAGAGTAAAGCAAACAAAATACAAATTCTACTTATTATTCGATTGTTCGGCATAAATAATGCGATTTTTTTGTTTTGTTGTACGAATTTGTGGCTTTGGATGCCTCACATGGTTTTGTTGTAGTTGCTTTTGTGGTTGCTTTTTTCACGCAGTAAGAGCAACAGCAACAGCTACAAACAAATAAGAGGTTCTAGTCGGGAGCTCCCGACCAGGGTATACCCTGAACCATCTTATTCTAACACCAAATGCAGCTCATGCTAGACGCTCATTTGCCTTAGTAGTTATAAAGATAAATTTAAAATAGATTCCCTTGGCAGGGTTCGAACTCCCAACTGACCACATTACTTGCTGTCGTCTCTACTTAACAGCTACACCAGTCAAAAAAAAAAAAAAGAAAAATAGTTTCCTCGGTAAGGGTCGAACTCGCAACAGACCGCGCTACTTGTCGTCGCCTCTACCCAACTGCCACACTAATTATTAAATGTTAATCAGAAGAAACGAATTATATAGCAGCACAGAAAACAATACAATCGCAATTGCAATGCGGTTGATAGAATTCGAAGCAGACGCACATGAATGTATGCATGAACATGTATATAGAAACTCTTGCAATTTGCGCTTGCTTCTGCTAACACATGCGCAGTCAAAACACATAACTTTTGTGTGTTTCTTAACCGATATTATCTACAGTTTATCTTATTGTACCATAGATTATTTGTGTATTTACAAAAAGTAAATTGCATTTTAATTGAGGCTTATATTGATGAGCAATGCAAGTTGGGTTATAACCTTGATTTTTAACTTTGTTGTGGTAGCGGGGAGGTGGCGATAGCTATAAAATGAAAGATAAGTACTAGATCTTATAGATTCTGAAATCCTTGCTTTTTGTGGTCGGAGATGCTTCCTTCTGCCTGTTAGATACATTTGCACAAATGCATTATACCCTTTTTACCCATTTTCAATGGGTTCAGTGCCAAACTATATAGTGTGCTGCGCCTACTTGATGTATTATATATATATACATATATATATATAATGTATATATATCATACATCAAGTAAGCGCACACTATATAATTTGGCATTTTTATATATTTAAATACTAGACACTATGTTAATACATAGACTATCAAGCGGCCAGATCGTAAAGCGCGCCACAGTAGCCACATTTGTATTTCACCTTGCAATCTTATCAGGGACTCTCAATAGTTGTTGCGGCTGATGCTGTTGTTGTTTCTTTGGGTGCTGTAACACTCGCCCGGCTATACATAGAGCAAAGCTTTTGTAAGCTAATTTAAATGACTTTGGGCAGGGCTCTACGCCTAGTATGACATTAATCAGATCTTGAGAACTTGACTAAACGCATTCGTCTTTTTTTTCGCATCTTTAATCTCTATAAAATTTTAAGCTTGAGTAGCATTTCGTTTTCACATATTATTATTATTTTGAATTGTTCTCTTATTTTTTTTAAATGCAAACAAACGGTTTTTTAATATTTACGTAAGATCTAAGCAGCTTTCGCAATTTATTTTATTTAAGCATTTTTTTCCACTATAAATCTTAAAGCAATTATTTTACTTAACAGCTTTGCGCAACTGAAGCTTAATTTTTTTTTAAATTAATTTTCAGCTATAGTTGACAATAAATTTGTATTAATATTCGAGGCAACTTTGGCTTTTGTTAGATTATAAAATGAAAGCTTGAAACGTTAACCGTCAACTAAACTACTGAAAAACAAAATTAATTACTAAAGCTTAAATTAAATTTTCTCTAAATATTTTATAATTAATCTTTTAGTCAATTTCTTAGTTATGTTTCCGGTTATCTGCCTATAAAAACTATAGTATTAGCAGCTAAAACATTTAATTTTTTTAACAACTATTTTTGTCAACTTGAAGTCCAAGCGCGTGTCATTACAGCATAATGACAAGTTTTTCTTCTTCTTATGTCTAACAGCATGCTAGAGCCTTCCATTACGTGTGCGTCTAAGAGAGATGGCAATATGGACACGCTCATAGCTATGCTTATACACATGTGCGTTCCTGTCTTTTTTGAAAGCTTGGAACGCACCTCGCATAATTATGTTATGTTTACGTTTTAATCACATGTGAAAAACACATACACACACACACGCACACTAAAATGCGCACGCACACATGAATATTTATATGATTTTCAAGGTTGCCGAAGATTTTGGCGCGTGTTTATGTGTTCAGTGATAAAGCAGTGCGGCATGTGCCTGTGTGTGTGTGTGTGTGTGTGTGTGTGTGTGTGTGTGTGTGTGTGTGTGTGTGTGTGTGTGTGTGTGCGTGTGTTCGGGAAGCTCGTTTATCTAATCGGCAAACAGTTTTCAATGCGTGTTAAAGTACGTGTTGCACATGTGTAAACAATAATTGGGGGACTCTCAGCTGCTGCTGCTGCTGCTGCTGCTGCTGGGTTGGGATGGCAACGCGGCGTATGCGTGATTTATAACTTCGTGCGGAGAAATTAGCTTGACATGCAAAGCCAGCAGCAGCAGCAGCCGCGATTGGCTGGTTATTATCGACCAATTGACGTTTCAGATCACGTGCCCAAGCAGCCAGCAGCTATGATGCCAAATAGAGCTCCACATACACACATCCGAGGTGTCCTTCACAGAGTCAACAAACTTGTGAGCACATATATTATAAATCTACATATATATATATACATATATATAGATACTATTCGAGTGGGTTGTTCAAAGTTGAGGAAATGCGTTGGCTGCACTTCGCACAGTCACAATTCATCAGGCGTTAAATTGCCTGAGAGCAAAACTCTACAAATTGTCTGTGCAAATAGGAAGCATGCAACACAAACAGATAACAAACTGCTGTGCATCTACCAAAGACTTGAGCTACACATATTTGCCATAGCTGCGTGTGTTAGCTAATTAAACATTTGCCTTAAACTTGTCTCTAGTTGAACTTAACTCTGGAACAGCTGGCCAGTTAATAATAAAAAAAACAATGTTTAACTATAGTGCGGATCAGCATTTAAATCGGATCCATGAGTTGCCACGTGTCTCGCACGAAACAGGTTAATAGCTTGGCCAGCTCTAGCCCAACCCAACCCGACCAGCCCCCTGGCCGCCACTCCAAGCAGCGCTTGGCAACGACGACAGCCACGCCTCTGCCTCAACTCTCAGCTCTCAGCTCCCTTGATGAGCCCAAATGCGGAAGTCACAAAATTTATTTTTTTTTTTTAATAATTATGCTGATAATGAGTAATAGTCGGCTTTTGTGTAATGCCAGCCAGCAGGCACAGGCCAGCACACGCCCCTTGTGGGCGCAACAGCTTTGTTGTCTTGTTTTAGGTACAAATACTTTGTGAATAATTTCGCACAGACTTTGTGGCCAACAGCACGACGCGCAGATACCCAGTGTGTCGACTGAAAAAATTCACATCTGATTTGACTTCAAGTATACACAGTATATAATATAAATACACTCAAAGAAATTATCGCTTTTAATTCTAGAAAATTGTCATAATGTAAAATCTGTGAAGAAAATTGTTTTTTTTTTAGGAAGCAAATTTTCTAAAATCAATAGCATGTTTCATTATATGACAATTGCTTCAAATTACGTTAAACAATTTTTTAATGGTGGATTTAAGGCTGCGAACCGGCTATGAGCTCAAACCATAAAACGAGCCGTAATAAAGATCAGCCAAACCTGAAACTAAGTCGAACCAGATGCTGGTTCAAAGCATTTTCTTTTATTTATTTTGTATATAAGTGCTCTTGACGTATCGCAAATAATAATTGACGCATTTGAACGTAAACAGTTGAAATGAAAAGAAATTTGAACCGTGAACCGAACCACTGTATCCGTTCGCTGGGCATGCGGCCATAATAGACTCTGAAGCTGGGTATTTAAGAGCCCAAACAAAATATTATGAATACATAATAAAGTCTTAAAAATAAAAAAAGCACGTGGCGAGCAACGATTGCGACCGGCTGATAAGGCCACGAACACACACTGTCATCAGTTCACAAATTAGCAACGTAAATTGACGTCAGCTATATTTACTACAGCTTAAAAGAAAACGAAATAAATATGTCGATTTGGTTATTCACATGCGGAATCTCTGCACAGACAGTTTGGGATTAATTCACATCAAAATGAACTAGTTCACGAGCGAAACAGAGCGCGTAAAATGAAAATCGTTTTAGATTAAGTTAAAATGAATTTATGGCATATGCTTAAATGCTTGAACATGCTAGCTAAAGCTAAGTGAACTAGTTCATAAATGTACTCCATTGACCAGGCATAATTTACGGCGAGCTCATGCACATTCATTCACACGTGAATGTTTAAGCTAAGAGAACTAGTTTATTGGACCAAAACAATGTACGGTAAATGCATAGAGTAAAATTATCTAGAGCCGTAGCTCTTGAGCAAACCAGTAGATAAAAGGGAACATACTTAAAGCTAATAATACTAGTTCGTAAGTGAATACCTTAAATTAGTTCAAATTTGAACTAGATCATGAGTGAACCACAGAGATTTGGGGGAAAGCGTGAATCTAGGTGAATTTGATGTACTTTGAGCTCTTTTTCTTTTAAATTCCAGTTCCAGAATCAGTTCTACTATTTATAAAAAAAAAAAAATGTTTAATTATTGACCAATTTTGTTATTTTCTGTTTTGTTCTTTTTAGAGAAATACCTGGGCCAACACAATCCTGGACATCGCAACAGCACCAGCAGCGAGGCGACCAGCGAGGACATCAACTCGAGCGACGAGCACCTGAACCTGAAGCCCAAATGCCGGCCGGCCAACAACAGTCATCCACTTGGCGGCAACAATGGCAATGTCAATGTGAATTGCAACAATGGAGCCGCCGGCTGCGGCAGCAAGTCGCGCTCCAAGCGGCAGCAGAAGGCGCAGGCCACGAAGCAGGCATTGGCCAGACAGACGGGACAGGCTCAGGCTCAGGCACAGGCACAGGTGCAGGGGCAGGCAATACTGGAGCAGTGTGGCAAGTCGAATGGCAAGTGCAAGCAGGGCAAGTGGCGCAACAACAACAACAACAACAACAACAGCAGCAGCAGCACCAACAACTGCAATCAGAAGCGAGGCAACAATGGCAAAGCCAAGCAAAGCAAATGCAACAGCAGCAACAACAAGCCGCACAATGGCCACAACAACAACAACAACCAGAACAGTAACGACAACAACTGCAACAACAGCAACATTTCAAGCAGCACGAAATGCGGCGCCAACAGCTCGAACTCCTCGTCGGCGCTCAGCTCGCCGGGCAGCTCGCCAAATGGCAGCAGCTGCAGCAGCATACGCAGCAGCAGCGGCAACAGCAGCGGCAGTGGCAGTGGCAGCATCGGCAAGCATGCCCCAAACTCTGTTGTCGGGTGGCAGCGCGAGGAGCGGCAGCTTCACAAGGTGCAGCGCCAAAATGTTAACTTTCTGGTGCCGCCGCTGCGGCAATACGAGCGCCTGGACATCGATGACGGGGCGCTGTTGCGCCAGCTGCGTCGCTACTTGATCGATCAGAATTTGCTGCGCGTCTACGGCTTTCCGGTGGCCAGCGTGGTGCACGATGGCGCCATTGAGATCTTCAAATGTTTGCCGCACATGAGCTTCGCCGCCGCCCATGTGATGGCCGTCACGGAGACGGCTCTAACGGTAATCAATTGCCATGACGGACTCACACTGAACCCCAGCAATTTCGAGGAACCGAACATTGAGGCCAACGAGCAGCCTCCTTGCGACGTTAGCAGCAGTAGCAGCAGCGACAGCAGCGACAGTCCAACGGCAACATCCACAGACTCGGGCAACATATCGCCACGCTCACTGGACTCCGAGTCGGGCGGGGAGTGGAGTGGCAGCGAGTGCGAGTCGGCGCCAAGCGCTGAAAGCGGCTACGGCCTAGAGCTGTATTGCAACTATGCGCTCGTCGAGCGCAGCTTGGCTAAGCAGTGCGTCCGCTGCAAGCGGGACTTCCTGGTCGACGAGCTGAGCGGCCAGTACTTGACGCGCGAGGAATGCAGCTATCACTGGGGCAAATATCATCGCTGTTATGATGGCAGCGCCTGGATCAGCCGCTGGACTTGCTGCAATGCCGGCGAGGAGTCGACGCTGGGCTGCACACGGCACGAGCTGCACGTGTGGACGGGTTCGGTGGTGGGCGTGAATGGACCCTATCACGATTTTGTCCATACACGACCGCGTGCTGCATTATCAGCGCGCAGCCGGGAGCCGCCCGCCGTCTATGCGCTCGACTGCGAGATGAGCTATACGGGCCGCGGCCTGGATGTGACCAAGGTCTCGCTGGTGGCGCTTAACGGTCAGCTTGTGTACGAGCATTATGTTCGACCCGATGCCGATATTGTTGATTACAATACACGCTATTCGGGCGTTACCGCCAAGGATCTCAAGTCGAGCGGCGTCAAGACGCTCGCCGAGGTGCAGCGCGATCTGCTGGAGCTGATCGATGCCGAAACGATACTGATTGGACACGGCCTGGACAACGATTTGCGTGCTCTGCGTATTGTGCACAATACGCTGATCGATACATCCATCGCGTTCCCCCACACCAGCGGCTTCCCCTATCGCCGTGCCCTACGACATCTGACCAAAACGCATCTGAATCGGGAGATCCAGTGCGGCGATGGCGCCACCGGGCACAGCAGCTTCGAGGATTCGCGGGCCTGCATGGAGCTAATGTTGTGGCGTGTTCGGCGCGAACTCAATGCAAATGCCACAAGCTGGGATGATTAGCGTGCGGCGGGTTCAACCCTTCTTGCTCGTATTATCCTAACAGAACTGTGGGCGGGGCCACCAAGTACTTTTTAGTCTGTAAGACGTTGCTAGTTATAGTTCATTTTTGGGGCGTACCCGCACTGGTCGCCTCTTGTATTTAATCTCAGCCTATGTTTGTTTTGTCCTCCTGCGGCCGGCACTCTCACCCCGCACCCCAAACGCCTCCCTTATTCACCATCCCTCAACCGCAGCGTCATTTCACAAACCGCCAACAGCAACAAGAACAACAACAACAACAACGAAAAATGAGCATATGCTCCTGGCCGTGGCGTTGCAATCTGGCGATGTGTGTCTGTGTGTGTGTGTATGTGTGTATGTGCATGTGCGTGTGCGTGCGGCAGCGGAGCGCAATGCGAACTGAAAAAGAAACCCAAAACAACAAAAAAAAAAAAAAACAAAATAACTAAAAAAAATTAACAAAAAAACAAACAACAACAATATGACAAAATGTCGTTTATATAGAGCGAAGCCTATTTTTAGTTATACGATATATATAATTACATACATACAAATACACACATATATATGTATATGTATATGAATTATACATACACACATACATCCATACATATATATCTATATATATATATACACATATATCTTTGTATATATATGTATATATTTATATATACGCACAACTATAAATTGTAAGCATATATTTATAAAGAAATTATATACACATTTTGTTCTTTTTTTTTTTTTGTTTTTTTTTTCTAATTAATTAATTAATTTTGTTTTCGAAGTAACCACAAGAAAAATGTACTGAAGTTTTAGCTGTGATGTTTTTTTCACTTTCTCACATATTTACAACAACAAACAAAAACAAAAAACAAAAGAAAACGAAAAACACAAAAAAAAAATACACATAGGAAACTAATCAAATATATATATACATGCACATATGCATATATGGAAATATACTGTTTACAATGCGCGAAAAAACTATCAAATTTAATTCGATAATTATTTGCTTGAAAAAAAATCACTCCATTTTTTTTTTAGTTGTTTTCATCGATGTTTTTTTTTCTTTTTGTATCACGAATGAAGCATCTCATATAAAAGTGAGGTTAAGTTGAATAACTTTTTACACACCTCAACATAAATTTAAGTTTAGGTTTTCTATTGAGTAATTGTTATTTTTTTTTTTTTTTTTTTTGTCACCTAGTTTTTAGCACACGCCTATTTATTTGACGAATTCATGCCAATTAGCTGTATAGAACTTTAGTTCTGTATTATTCAGATACATGCAAAAAGTTTATTGAAAATTTCTTCAAGTGTATAAATTTTACATTAAACAGCATCGTATTCAACACCAACAACTACAACAATAATATTAATAACAATTAGTGTAAACATTTTAAATTTAAGAAATTCTAATGCTTACAACTAGAATTATTACGAATATTGTAATATTACTTCTACATGTATATCAATATATATATACATATGTATGTTCTTTTTTTTTTGGTAGTTTTTACTATTGTAATTATAGAACGATTGTTTCCAAGGCAAATGCTGAGAGACACGCTTCTCCTTTTGCACAACAAAAACAACAACAACACAAACAACAACAACAACAACAAACACGTAGAATTGATGTTCCTAGCAGCAACTAGCGCAAAGATACGGATGCAAATCGAGCAGCTTGAGAAGAGGAAAATAAAGCGAATGTATATTTTATTGAGAATCAAAATGCAGCAAATGCAGTTGTTGATTGACAAGAAAAAACAAACAAAACAAACAAAAATTACTATATGCAAAAAAGAAACAATACAAATGAAATACGATGCGGAAAATAAAAGAAACATTCAATTGTTTTCAAACGATATAACATTTACAGAAAAAAAAAAACAATATTTTATTTTTATTTGATGGGTAAGCGGGAATATCACTTATGTATATATAGATATACATATATATGGATGTATAGGCATATAGACATATGCATACATAGTAGAATAGACAGATAGATAGATGTATAAATATATAGATGTATATGGTTGTGAATTATAGAAGAGTTTGCAACACATGCAATGGTCTTACATTTCTTTGAATACCCTGTAACACAGCCGTAGAAGATATATGCTATAACCGTTTGATCTTTTAATATAATCTATAACTATCGGCTTATAATGATATTCTTTAGTTATTCAGGAAAAAGCCCAATTTTTGTTCAACTTAGAAAAGTAAATAAAAACATTGATATCTTCATTAATAATATATATTTTGAATGCTTCACTTAAGTCGACAATGATTAAAATCGTACACAACTGATTCTATATTATGAAGAGTATCTAACAGTCGATAAATAGCAGCCAGCTCGTTCTAAACCTTTAAAAAAAATTAAAGAAAATTATAAAGCATCGTTCAAGAAAGATTAGTTACACATGAAAATAATGCAAATTGAAGATTAATCCGAAAACCAACTGCAGCTGTTACATGACCCTGTTCATGTCACCTTCATATCCACACAATGCCTCCGTTGGCCATCTGGGCCGCTCGTTTTGGGGTCAATGCAAGTTGAAAGTATACCAAAGCGAAGCACTTCCAAAAAATACAAAAACTACCAAAACACACATTTGTTACCCTGTAATGCCAGTTGTGGGTATATGGCTTACTTGGCTTTGGCAGCTGGTGCCTCATATCGGGCGCTGTGTGCACAGCTGAGGACTAAGCAGAATGTATTAAAGCATCTTCAGCAACTGCGATCTATGCTACATCGATATTTGCCACACCGAAGATGCTCTTCTAGATAGAATTAGTGTAGAAGTGTGTTCCTGTAGAAATAGCTCCTGTTAAAATTATTCATATAAGAGAAAGGAACAGCTGCAAAGATTACGACACCCTTCTATGTTAATTTCTTAGTAGCTTGTACGAATTATCCGATTGTTCCTGTAGGAATTGTTCCTGTACGTGCAAAGAACAACTATCTTTACCGTGCCGAAGATTAGCTGTCCTTTTAGATATATGCCTATAGAAGTACATGCGAATCGACCGATGGTTCCCAGAGGAGCCGTATTAGTAGAAATCGTTTTTATAACTTTTTAAATTCGAACGGATCCCTACTATAAATTGGCAATCAATTTAATCAAAAATCAAGGGTTTAGTTTATGATTAGTTTATGATGTAACATTGTTTTGATGATTTGTTTGGAATATCTCGGCTAAATAATGTCTGATTTCGGAATGAAATAACATTTTGGACTCGTAAGGATCAGAACTATCGATTGAATATTTCGGGTAGATATCGACTGATTTTGAAATGCTTTGGCTTTTTGAATTCGTACGGATCCGTACTATCGATTGGCGTTCAAACAAACTCAAAACCGAAAGGTTTTGAAAAGTTGCTGACCAAAACACGATTCGTTCATAAAGTCAACTTTTTTGTACATTTTATAAAGCTTTATAAAACTTTGATAAAACCAGAAATTAGAGCTTGTAAATTCCAAAAATAGTTAAGATATCTTAAAAAACAAAAAAGTTACTTGAGCAACAATCTTATCACTCACCGATTTTAACTGTGCTCCGATATATGCTCCAACCGAGCGACTAGACGGATAAAAGGATATGGCTATAACGACTTGATTGTTGATACTGAACAAGAATATAGTATATGCCTCAAGGATTCGTAGACGTCTCCCTCGACGTGTACAAGCTTTGCGACAAAATGATAATACCCTCTACATATGTTTAAAAAACCAAAATCCAAAACTTTTTAAAAACCATATACATTTGCATACATGTAGAGCATGTGTATTGCAGAAATAAAAATGAAGGAAAAATAACTGATCTTGATTTCCAACATCTGGCAGAGGTTATCGCTGGAGATGTTTGTCTTTGTTAAGGCCTGACGCTGCAATTTGGCTCAGAGCTGTGTGTGTGTGTGTACATGTACTGTGCGTGTGCGTTGCAGTGAAAGTAGAAAGTGATCCTCCAGATGACGAAATCCCAAAATTGGTTGCTCTTTCACCAATGACTTCTGCCCCTTGAGGCAAGCTCGCTAATTCGCAATGCAACGCATTTTTTTGTATCTTTCATCAGCATCAGCAATACTTTGCTGTATTCTGCTTCAATGATTAGTTTTCCATATACATATACATATACATATACATATACATATACATATACATATACATATACATATACATATACATATACATATACATATACATATACATATACATATACATATACATATACATATACATATACATATACATATACATATACATATACATATACATATACATATACATATACATATACATATACATATACATATACATATACATATACATATACATATACATATACATATACATATACATATACATATACATATACATATACATATACATATACATATACATATACATATACATATACATATACATATACATATACATATACATATACATATACATATACATATACATATACATATACATATACATATACATATACATATACATATATATACATATACATATACATATACATATACATATACATATACATATACATATACATATACATATACATATACATATACATATACATATACATATATATATACATATATATATACATATATATATACATATATATATAAATATATATACATATATATACATATATATATACATATATATATACATATATATATACATATATATATACATATATATATACATATATATATACATATATATATACATATATATATACATATATATACATATATATATACATATACATATACATATACATATACATATACATATACATATACATATACATATACATATACATATACATATACATATACATATACATATACATATACATATACATATACATATACATATACATATACATATACATATACATATACATATACATATACATATACATATACATATACATATACATATACATATACATATACATATACATATACATATACATATACATATACATATACATATACATATACATATACATATACATATACATATACATATACATATACATATACATATACATGTACACGATTTATTTTGTTGGCGTTAGAAACGTGCAGCTGGCTATAAACCCCCTTATAAAGACGGAAGCTTGTGGGCAAACGGGGCGAGCTGCGAGTTGTTTGCACAGTGCTATCATTTGACGTATGAAGGCGATCGACTAAATATAAATTGAATGTTCGTGTTTGGCACATTTGCGCTAAAAATCGCATCGATTGTTTTTAATTGTACAATAGACATGTCCGAGATGTGTTTAGACATCTAGTGATATATATATATACACCAGACCAGACTAGTGAAAATTTCTAATACATAGTGTGTGTACATAGCATGCGCTACGCCCTCACTCGATTGCTCTATATACAAAACAAAATAAATAAATAAATAAACATGTAAATAAACCATTTTAACATTGCATGTGCCTGTCTGTCTATCTGTGTATGTATAATACACAATTTGAATCTCTAAAAAGTCTGACATATAAACTAGATGAAAGGTCAATAACAAATATGGTTATGTTTACTGCTGTATACTGTTGTATACTAACTACATCCAAATTTGTTCAACTATGATTAAAAATAAGTTAATCGTTTTCTAATTCCGTTATGTACAATACTTGTGACGCAATAAATGACATTTCGAATTCACTTAGTCAGCAGACAAAAAAACGGATATTTGCAACATTTCGCGCACTTATCGTGATATCGACGAAAAAATTGCCATGCTTAAGAAGAGAGTGTTATCGTCAAGTGTTGGAAAATGACTGCAGCTGCAACAAGGCTGGGATATTTGGCGCGCATGTTGAAACTAAGGGCAAAGATGTTGATCAAAACTTTACTGACAGATGAACATTTAAGCCTGAGGAAGCTTTTTATGAAACATATGGCTAAAACTGAACTTGTGATTCATAAGCAACTGTGTGTCTGTATTGTAAAAAGAGTGTAAAATAATATCAAGAAATTTTCGAATTTACCAAATATGGCTAACGACGAGTTCGGCATGAATCATATGCTCAGGCATTTTTTATTTATTTTTTCTTTTTCAATGAAGCCAGCGTCGCAAATGTCGTAATATAACCGAGTTTGTGCATTTATTGATATTCAAATTTGATATATAACTAGTTCTGCGAGACAATTTAATTAAAAATGGTATTTATTGTATTTCATTTCAAAAGTGATAACTCGAACGTGATTCGTCATGGAAGCGCAAAGCAACTGCAATTGTTGGCGCCCATACTGTCTTTATTATACAACATTGAAGCCAAACCGAAATAAAACAAAACTTAAATTGTAAACACTACCAAATACAACGAAATATATACATAAATATGTATGCGCATTTACCAGTATGTACATATTTGAAACTAAAGCTGACGTTGCCGGCCAAATGTCGTCATTTCGGGTCTTTGGTGACGTGATTATTTGTAAAACCAAAGCTTTCTGACTGCGGCTAAGTTTGGTGTTTAGCGGGCCACATGACATATTTTTCCATACATGATATTCTGAATAATGCAATTTGCATTCAATCGATTTATACGTCCAATATATAACCATATACTATATGCGTCATTCCGAAGGTACTTAGCTGACTTTTGGGGAAGCCAGACACATGATATGTATATGCGATTCATCAAGTATAAAAAGTTGGAACAAGAGCTGCTAGGCCTAGGACAATGGCAGCTGGTTTTGTGGAATATTTTTGAATAGCATAGAGCAGGATTCAGAAAACCAAATGATAGTTTAGCCTAGCAGCACAGCTGCCAGCAGAACATTTACGAACGCAACAAAAAAGAGAAAAGAAAATCAAAGTCACGTAGCGTGATTTTCAATGGATATGCTCTTTATGGGGACACATCGGTACTCGATCGTGGATGCTAATATACATACATTTAAAAAAAAAAAAAATAATAAAAGATTTATCGTGTCGTTGAAAAATATTGCCATGAAAAAAATGTTTATGGTTGACATAACTCAAGTGTAAGTCGTCTAGGGGCAAAAGTGGTCACATAATTCTTCAGTTTTTAACTATTGCTTCGTGAATACACTCGAACATATACGTGTATATACATATACATATATATATATGAAATGCATATATGTATATGTGCCTGATCTATAGCCAAGCGCGTATAAATCAGCCGCGCAATGCTGTGAAAATGAGCATGTGGTCAAGAGTCAGCAATTTCCAGCCACAAATCTAATGAAAACTATTTGAAGAATGCTGCAAGACTCGAGCAACGAATCTTTTCTTTTTGTTATTTTTGGAAAACTTGCGACAATACCCACACACATAGCTTTTACACACACATATATACATACGTTTGTGTGTGCAGCATATCGCAGTTGCCCCCGAACCTTGGGCCGTCTTTCTCACTTTCGCTGTTAATTTTGTTGTTGCTTTTACCAAAAGGGAAAGGCACTGAAACTCGGTTGAATTCAATATGAAGCGGAGCTGTTGCTGGTTTTCTTCTCAACTTGAACTTATCTAATCGGTGTGTTGGTTTCTTTCAACTGCTTAGTATTGGGCATGACAGGCAGCTTCATAATGGCGAAAGTGCAGAAAATTGTGAGCTATTAGCTGTTGTCTTTCGCTGATTTTCTTCTCAACTTTAACTTATCTAAACGATTTGTTACTTCTTTCTTCTGTTTTGTTGGGCCCAGGCAGCTTCTTGAGAGTGAAAGTGGTGCAACAGTTAATCGTTCTCTTCGCTTTCTTCCCAACATTAACTTATCTAATTGACTCATTGGTTTCTTTCTTCTGCATATTATTAGCCATCACAGGTAGCTTCTTAAAAACGCATGAGCTGCAACTTGTTCGTAGTTAGTTATGCGAAGTGAACTGTTCTATGTTTCCTTTAACTTATCTAACTTTTAACTTATCTAATCGATTTCTTACATCTTTGTTCTAACAACATATTTGTTGTTGCCTGTTTCTAGTTTTTTCTCAACTTGAACTTATATAATAAATTCGGCGGCCTCTTTCTTCTGTTATGTTGGGGTCAAACAGCTTCTTGCCAACAAAATTAAAGCATCTTGTTAGTTATTAGCTAATGCTACTCCCCTCCAGCCAACTATAGCTTATCTAATCGATTCATTGGCTTCATTCATCTGCATAATATTGCTGACGGCACGCAGTTTCTTGGAAGCGAAAGTGCTGCAACTTGTTAGCTGTTAGCTATGTGCTGTTGGTTGTAGCTGGTTTGCTGCCCCGAGCTGGCGTCTGGCGGCGCCCGCGTGTCAACATTTTCCTGAACTCGATTGAGCGCTTAGTCAAGTTGAAGGCTTTCGGTGGCTTTGGCCGGCTAAATAAACCCGCCTTGGCTGCCAATTTCATTTTGTTTATCAGCTTTGTTATTTTAATTCGAATATACAACGAGTTTTATAGACGGGTGCGTGTGTGTGTGCATGTGCGTGTATTTGATGGGTTGTCCGCGTATTTACCTTTCACACCCACACACACACACACACACACACACTGTCTCCGCATCGGTTTCTGGGCCACAGACAAGTGGGCTACCCCACACTTTAAAAAAGCAACAAAAACAAAACAAATGCCCCTGGACAGTTGGTGAAAGTTCAAGGCTGCTGTCGCCGTACCACAGGTAAGCCATACACAGACACACGTACACACATACACAGGCATATGCAGCTACATAATTATGTACATAGGCGCATGCAAATAAATTCGCACAAAGCTTGTTTAAACATTACCTTTTGATAAAGAAAATTTGTGTACCTCATAGGTTATTCGCATTTGCACAAATATCGCTTTAAGTCTGGCTATTTATACAAATGAAGTATGTTTTTTTTTTTGCATATATATTTTACGCTGAAGCTCAACAAATATTGCCCCAATATTGTCCTTTGCTCAATAATTGCACGCATATACTAGGTATTTGCATAAATGTTATTTTATATATGTTTCCAGTTTACTTTTTTATTTTTTTTTTTAACGTTAATTTGCGGCAATTCCACCCGCGGAAAGTGAACGAAGATATGCATGTATATGATATGGAAGATCTATATTCTTGATCAGTCAGTCAAACTCAGTCGATATAGACAAGCATGTTTGTCTCTCAGCATGCAAAACCACAATCCGTAGATCGGAAGAGGTCTAAGATACCCTTGTAGCCAAACCAAGGCAGAAGACACAACCAAAGAGTTGTGTCCTTAATTGTCACCCGCGGATGCAAGAGGGCGCTGATTGACGCTTAAGTTAATCCTGCCGTGAGATTGAGCTCACGTTAAGCCCGTTGACTTGACCATGGGAGTAAACGCACCAGCTTAAAGAAATATAGGATATATACAAATTTTAATAGCATATAAAGTACGCAGATTTTTCCATTCTTAAGCGGACTTCCATTTAGAATCATGCTTATAAATCATAATAAATTATTTTAATTTTATTATTAAAAGTCATAGCTAATATGTTTTTGACACACACACACTCTCTCTCTCTCTAACTCTCTCCCCCTCTCTCTCTCTCTCTCATCCCTTCAACAAAGTCGGTCTCCCCTTCATTTCTTCGCTCACACGGTCTACTATTAGCTTAACATACAAATCGCCTTTCTATACGATTTTCATGAATTAAAGTGACTCTTACACCGTCTCTTTCTTCAATAAGTATTTGTTTGAGCGCCAGATAAAACATAGGTTTTATTTTCACGTCATGAAGCATGTTACAATTGACAGCGGCAATAAGAAACTTGTTTAATTGCAAAAACCCTTGGGACCGTGTGGTACCTGGCGCCAAGTAGTCCAACAGCGCACTTTAGTTAGCATTTAGCCAAAATCGGTAGTAAAAATTAATTTGTGCATCAGACCTGTGTTTCATGTTGGTGATGGGTGATAATGTTGTCATACGACTTTCAAATATAAACTTACAAACATATTATTGTAGAAAAAGTAAACTTACAAAAAATTGCTGAAAACTTGTGGGCTGGAATTAACGGCAATTTGTTTGGCGGCTATGAAATATTGTTGCATGTTGCATGTTGCATGACGACAATATATCATATATATTATTTTGTTGCTTAGCTTTATGACGTAGGTGGGCTGCATTTCCTCAATGTTGCTCAAACCGGAAAATTCAAAGAGGCTTGACTGCAGCACGAACAGGCGCCGTTATGATTGAGTAATTACCAACATACAGATTCACACATACTTTTATTATTATCATTATAAGCTAGGAACTTACATGAATGGCTACTTAAGCTATAAGACTCGCATATTGGCTCATGGCTATGTGAAACAATTGCTATGTCTGGTTTCGGAAGCTTTGAAAAGTTGAGAGGCTGGCAAAAACGGTTTTTTATAAGATCGAAAGCGAAAATGAAATAGCGAAGATATAGGTGAATTATTATTATAAGTAAATTACTTTCTAATAAGATACCATGAAAAGCTAAACGTAAGGGACAGATCTGAAGAACAGATCTGACTATAAACACTTGATCGAACAATCATTGCATCCATAACCATGCGGAAGAGTTGACCTTTGGATTTAAAGTTTAAAGATCATTAAACGTTTGTTGACGTCATGCAGTGGTAATTAAATAATCTATTTCAATGGCAATTGGACTTACATACTGCAATTATGTAACAAAACTTTAACGGCATTAAGCAGCTCAATTGATTTGGCTGAAACAAGTTCAATGCCAACGGCAGTCAATTTAAACAATTTGTACAATGATTGTTTTTGGCGGTTACAATGTATTTGTATATGTATATATAAATGTGTGTGTGTATGCATGTGTAATTATACTTTTTGATCACTTTTAAGCCTAATCGTACAAAATGTTTATATCTATATGCTACCTAAATGTCGAATTAAACTTTTGTTTACAACAGTAGAACCATAATACATTATGCTCATTAAAAAAAATAGAAATTACACAAGCCAATAAACGCCATTTAAAACAAATCAACAAAGTCTGCAGCTCAAGTTAACAATCGCTATACCTGTGTGTGTGTGTGTGTGTGTGTGTGTGTGTGTGTGTGTGTGTGTGGGTGGGTGGGTGTGATTGGGTGTGTTGCTAAGGCTGTGTATGTGTCGCTATATGGCTATCCCAGCTATTGCTGCAATACTCGAGCGCATTTGGAAGAAATTTGTCTCAATTTGGCCCAAGACACGAGGAACTCGACAGCATGCTAATTGCCGATTGATGTCGATGCTGTTGTTGTTTGCTTATAAATGATTCCCGTTATTTCCCCATCCTTTTGTATAAGACAGCGCCTGAAAGTTTGAGCATTTTAGTGGGACTTGTTTACTAGTTAGCTAGTTAGTTAGCTAGCTAGTACTTACTTATTGCCGCTGTAAAGACAAACGGTGGCTGGCACAGTGCTATTCGGCTCCAGCTTGGCCACCTGCTCGGATATGGCCGTACCAATGCCAGATACATTGGGATTGATATTGCCTTTGGCTAATTGGCATTACAAAATCAAATAATTATGGATTACACACATGGTTGCACTTTTTTTATTTTACTCACCGCCCAAGCAGAGCCCTTGCCGATTCGCAAGTAACGCACCCACTGTGTCTTGTTGTGTTACGCTGCATAAGGGGCAAGTTAGCAATGGTAGTAATGGTCATGCAATACGTACATTTCACTCAACACTTTTTCTAGTTGCTGCTCCATTTGTCCAATTGTAAATTGACCGACAATTCTAAAACAGAAAACAAAGAAAAACCAAAACAATGCTAGTTCAGAACTTGACTATCGATATCACCGACTATCGCAAAATGGCGCTGCCAACTGTTTGCGATAGTGCTGCATAGTGCGATAAGCTAAACACGGCGGTTTGCAGCACTTATCCAATATGAATAACATTTGAAATTAGAAGCCGCCAATTAAAATCAGTTCGCTACAGACAAACGCTTTTATATCTAGTTAACAGGAATGTATATAAATACGATTCTGCGATTTCTTGCTGGAACGATGTCGATAACTAATCTGACTCCAATTGGGCTTGTTTCAATCAACAATTATTATTGTTATTCCAGAATCAACAATATGTTAAGTGTGAAAAAATTAAAAATTTTAACTGGATCGACGATTGTAAATCAAATGATATTTTTAGTCGCTTCCTTATTCTGAAAATTTAGTTTAAAAATAATATAGTAAAAAACTAAACACTGCGTGTATGTATTTTGTTTATAGCATTTAACATAAAAAAATACGCAAATTATTGCAATATTTTCCTGCAATTTGCTTGCCTGTGAACACAATAAACAAAATTCACTATTACAATGCCAACTATAATTAACAATTTTTTTAACTCAAATTATATGCTGCATTCCGCGCAGGTAATAAAAATATTTATGTTTTTTTATATTGTGTTATATATACTCTATGATGATTGCTGTGGAGCACATGCCATTTGGAATTATTGTTGGCCGTATTGCGACTTCACAAGTGCATCGCGGCTTGATGCGTACATTTATGTGGAAATATATATGTATGTATGTAAACATAGTTTTAACATATATATAATCGTACATAAATTGTTTCGATTCTAGGTATACTACGTCTGCTAATAGTGTAACTGTGTATGTGTGTGTATATTTATGTGTGTATCTGTCCTCTCTGCATGTGTGTATATAGTTTAAACAATTTCATATTTTTCCACAAAAAGAATCGTTTCGCTTGAATACTTGACCGATTCATTGTTGTCCACCTGTACGACATCTAGGGCGCTTATGGCCGCATACGGCGTCTTAGAGACGAATGTCACTTGCAACGGAAAGAAATCGCCTGGAATGGAGGCACTGCAGCTAAACTCCATCGAACCGGATTTGTTGGCCGCATCAATGATGGGAATATTCCACAGCAACACATGTTTGCGAGCATCATACTTGTAGGTGCCATCGTATTCGGCTACCGAAGGCTGTACATTTAAGCTGTAATATAGGAGAGATCAATTAGATAACCTTAAGGATACCATAACATTATTACTGACGGCAATGGTATAACTATGGCAACATCCTGTAGCTCCAGATGCTGTGCCTCCAGTTCGTATTCAATGTTCACATCGCAGCCGCCTTCTCCATTGTCCGAAGGCCAGCAGTTAACTATGCAATGGAATGAAAAAGGACAGACAGATAAGAACAGAGACAAAAATATTAGTATGAAAAGTGAAGCACGCCTCTGTTCAATAGGCAAATGTTACTCACTGGTCAGAGGTATAGCCGATTCGTCCTGCGTAATGAAGCGCCACTTGAGGACACCCACATCGGTGTTAAGAGGGAACGGCTTGGTTGGGACCTTGAGGCCGATCATTGCTCGCGATTTAAATAGTTCCTTGTCAACATTTGGATGAGTCTGCAGCTGTATACCTTGTGTATCATTATTGGCTAGCAACACCCTGATATGTGCTTTACTTTCATCGGTAATGCGCAGCGTCAGCAAACCGCTGAGCTCGAACTGTTGTACGCCACCATCACGTCCCAGACGCACCACCAGCTTATCCTCCATTTTCAGATGTACACTGTAAGAATGGGTCCTCAATATTTGTGCAGTATAGTGAATTTCCGGATTTACCTTTCTGTATGAATATCTGCTGAGATTTTGGCTTTTGCTGCTGCACTGGCACTGGCCGCTGCCCCGGAGCTACCCGCAGCAACTGCTGGTGCCAGATTGGCAATCTTCTCGCCTTCACTCTTCAGCTGGTCAACAAAACTGTCCACATCCTTGGACTTGCCACCCAATTTGAGTGCATTGCGTGATACCGGCTTCCTGCAGGAAACAACGGGATATTTCAATATGCTTGAGACAAGATTTTCGAATTATTTCAACTGACTGTGCCGCCTTGCTGGACACATGCTTGGCTTCCATCTCTATGGATGGTGCACCGCCACTGCCACCGCTGCCGCCGCTACCACTGCTGATACCGCTGCTGCCGAAGCTGTCGGAGCTGAAGCCGCCGCTGCGTCCGCCCATGCCACCCATGGAGGGGCCGCCACGTTTTGGGGCCTCCATACGCTGACGCTGCAGCTCCTTGGCCTTCTCGCGCATCTTTTGGCGAGCTTCACGCTCCTGTGTCTGACGAACTGCCTGGTAGACTTTCTCCTCATGCGAGTCCATCTCAACAAAAGTCTTGATTTGCGCCAGATTTACGCTCTCCCTGTAGCCTAGTGCAACAATCTCATCAAAGGCAAATATCAAGTTGAATGCATTCTCCACAATCTCCTTCTCGTCCAGCGAGTGACTGTACTCTGGTATCTATATGGACATTGACATTAAGAGATTATCGGTAAATTCAGTAGGATAATACTAAATGTGAAACTGGTAGATCTCAAGAAAAAAAAAAAAAAACAATTGTGTATACAAATGCACGCACCACTTTCGAGAAAAGGCGAAGTGTTTCCAAATCCTCAAGTATGTTGCTGGCCTTTGTGGTTATCAGAAGCATGTAGAGCTTCTCCATCGGCTGGTAGACATATCGGACCGAGTCCGTTTCCACATAAGTGTGCTGCTTGCCGGCTGTCATGAGCTTGGGGAATGCAGCCAACAGTCCCTCGATGCGCGCCTTAGTCATCTCCACGAACTGACGTGACAATATGACTGAGTGCATGTGTGTGTGCGTGTGTGTGGTTGTAAGGTTAGACTTTAACACATTAAAAATATATCGTTTAAGTTTTTCACTTACCTTTGCCATTTTTTGTGCAGACTGCCGCGGCAATGAGTACCTAGGATTAAAGTAAACGTAAATGAGATAAGCAAAATAGCCGACGTAGAAGCGTGTGAGTGTGTGCACGTATGTTTGTGTGTTGTGTGTGCGCTTACCATTTTGATGCAGCGGTAATTGAATCAGCTAACGAATACTTGGAAATACTTTGCTGTTATGTGTAGCTCGAGCAGTAAATTAACTGACTTGGAATGATCAAAACAAATTGTTTGTCAATCAATCCGCATCCGCGTAGCTGACGTGTTCGGTTCTGCAACAAAATGTTTACGATTGCTTGCGTATGTGTGTAAGTGATGACAGCGCACAGCGCACTGACAATCTATTGTTGATGTCACTATTGCTTGCGTTGTTTATGCGGCAGACAAGATAAAAGCAAGCAATATAGTGTTTACTTGCCACATACAGCTTTAATACATGCACCACACCCAATGATACTTTTATTTCCGTGTTTTTAATTCAAAAACTAACCAGAGTCCTTAATACTTAAACTAATTGTGACGTCACAGATGCCAGTCGTGCACACATCGACAATGCCCAGCAACATCGATAACACTCAGCAATCGTTATGCCGATTAATTGCACAGCACTGAAAGCTGAGATAACAAATCAAATGCCAACTCAATCTAGAGTGGGTGTTTTTTAATTGAAAGCAATGTTTTAAACGGTAATTTACATTAAATCAACGTCAAATATAAAATATATAGATATTAAAATATATAAAACGATATATTAAAATGCAGAATGTCGTACTCATTTTAGCTGTACGAGGCTTAGTTATATTCATTGTTGTCTAATGTCAAGGTTTCCACTCGTTCAACAATAAAGTCCTGCGCGGCCGCTTCGTCCGTCTTTGTTAGCTGACCTTTACCCTTCTCCTTGGCATATTCTGCACTCAGAATGCGCATTACTTGCGCCGCGGTGAGATTGTCACGTTTATGCTTTTGAAAATTATCCTTAACGAATTTGGCGAAACCCGTCGCCTCACGCACCGGCGTCGGCACAATATTGCCCGACTTATCCTTCTTATTCAGGAGCAGCATAATGGGTCCACGGCAAATGCGGCAGCGTAAGTTCTCCACCTTGCGCGAACGAGAATGCGCATGAGACCTGTAGAGGCATGGAATGACCATTAAGTAGAGTTATTATTTAAATGCACCTTCTGTACTCACGATGTATTGCATTTTATACACTTATATGTGTATTTGAACTCGATGTTGTAGTTGTGGCAAACTCGAATCGGTGGAAGATCTGGAAATTTCTCATTGGCACGCTGTGCCCAACGCTTCCAAACAAGACCGTGTCCGCCCTCACCGTTGAATACCCAGGCCGCAGCATGGCATAGCTCATGGATAAGCGTGCAGCGCAATCGATCTGCACTTGTCAGGACCTTAATGCTTAGCTCCACAACGCTGCTGCGTTCCAGCAGTCTGCAAGACAGAACATGGTAATCTGTTTATATGTATATGAAAATGTCGCTTACTTCTTTTTATTTTTGCATCTGCCCGCCGTGTTGCGCAACAGCTTCGACCAGGTGATGGGCACCTTCAGTTCATTGTTGAAGATCTGCTCATTAAACATGTCGTAGAGTCGTCCCGCCAGCTGCTCTTTGTTACGGTTGAAGTTCTCGCGATAGAAGAATGCTTCATTGTCACAACGATCTTGAGTGATCTGTGGCTCCAGGGACTTGATAAAACTGCATTTGCTGGTATTATTATTTCTTGGCGCGCTCGCCCCATTTTGCACCTTCCTTGCGCGTGCCGCTGATTTTGCTGACGTCGCCGTTTGTGGTGTGGGCAACTTGAAGATGGGTTTCGCTTTTGGCGACTCAACTGCAATGCCCAGCTGCTTTTTGACCTCTTGCACACGCTTGTGCACTGTTGAGCCCGGCAAATAGACGTTCTCCAACTGATCTAAACAGTCCAAATCGAGTGCTTGATCCACAATCCGTTTGGCTGAGCTAATGTCCTCATAGCCCGTATTTGGTGTAAATAGCTGCCTTCGTGTCGGGTTTGCCAACGCCGGCGTCGACGGCGACTGCGACGTCGGCGTGGCAAGCAATTTAGGCTTATCGCTGGCGCGGCAGGTCCGCAAAATGTCGTCAAGCCGTTTTGGAAATTTCGGCGCTGTAAAAATTTGGAAAATATGTATGTAATGGCAGATGTTATATAATAATTCCACCTTCCACTTCATAATGAATTCATATTCGTGATACGCTTTAACAGGCAAGTCGACGTAGCCATGTCCGTATGTTCTCCGTTCCCACACACCCTGATTTAGGACCAAGGAGAAGCAGTTTATACTCACATTCGATTTGCTCATCGGGATCGCTGACCACCTCCACCTCGGCCTTTGTAAGGTCCAAGTAGGTGACATGACCGTCAGCGGCATCATCAGGATCACTGCTGCCCGTTGCATCCGCATCGTCGTCATCGGAGGCATCGGTGCCGCTGTCCGTATCGACAAGGGCGCGCCAGCGCTCCTCGTGCACGTGTTTGGTGCGTGTGCGCTGTCCATTCGGTCGCTTCTCACTGCAGGCAGATTTTGGCAAGTGGGTCGAATTCAATTTGGTGGAGTGGAGCGCACGCTTGACTGGAAAATCATAAATATACATAAGTCAAGCACTATCTGAATGGGTACAGCGCACTTTTTACATACATATGCTAAAGTCGCCCAGTGCGCTCTCGTTAGGCGCTGCTTTCTTCACTGCTGTGGCTGCGGCGCGTTGAGCCTTGGGCTGCCGCCTTATCTCGGTAAGTGGAGTGCGGTCTATCGCAGCCGCTGGCGCTGGTGTACGCGCAAGTGCACCTTTTCCACCGCTGCCGCTGGAGCGTTTGAGCGTGCGTATAACATCCGGCGTTTGCCAAGACTTGCCGTATAATTGGTTCAGCAGCTTTTCGGCTTGTGTCAGAAATTGCTCATCCTCTGAAGCGTCACCGCTTAGCACGGAGCGCTCCTGTTCCTGTTGCTGCTCACATTCCTGCTGCAGCTGCTGCTGCTCCACTCGATCCTGTTGTTGTGGCTCTGCGCGTGCCTCTAATGATGGCGCGGCTTGCACATAGCTTTGCTCTGAATGCTCAGATTCGGCTGAGCTCGAGTCCATGTTAGGTATGTGTATTTTAATGTTGATCTTTGCCGATATATTAATACTGCTCACTTGTATGGCAGGTATGCTCGCCACTTCCTCGGCCGATGAGGATGAGCGAGGTCTTGGCGGTGACTGCTCTACCTCGCTGCTGGTCTCCGGAATGGTTTCATCCAGATGCACCTCGTTCAGCGTGGACTGTTGACCCGATCGCTCAGACAGCGGCACCTCTTGGTCGGGTGTGTTTACCTCTGTGTCATTCGAAGCTAGACGTTTGCTGTTGTCTAGTTCGAAACGTTCCTCGGAGCACAACGTGTTTATCTCCGTGTCATTATCCGCCAAGCGTTTGCTGCTGTCCAGTTGCGCTTTCGGCGTGGAAGTGGGTGTGGTTAAGCACGACGGCAATTGTGTTAAGTCTATGTCTAATTGGCTCATCGATTCCGTGTCCGCACTAGCCAGGCGCGTGTGCTCGGCTGACATGTCTGCTTGTCCTCGCCGAATCCTCTTACGGCGCTCGAAGGATACATCACGCAGAAAAGCCTCAATGAGCTTTACTTTGTCATTGGACAGCGGATCTGGCAGTAACTCTGCTGCTGTTGGTAACAGCTGCCCGCTTACTGTCATGCTTGTCTCCTGCGGCTGTTCTTCAGCCGGTGGCTGTCTCGCCTGCTCCAGCTGCTGAGCATGCACGCTGTCACTGGTATCTGATATGGTGATGCAGGATTCGCTATCATCATCGTCGCCCTCTTCGGTTGTTGATGATATGCAAATGGACACCTCCTGCGGCAGCTTTTTTTCCGGCTGCATTGTCAAGTTAGACACCTGCGTGGATAAAGCCTCCACATCTAGGACGAGTGAACGTTGTGTGCAACCGTCACCGCTTAGCTGCAGTGCTTCCATATAGTCGGAGACATCGGGCTCTGAGCTCGCATCCTGCAGGGCCTGGGGCGTGTGCTCCTGTCCCATGGCGTTGGACGATGAGGAGTCGCTTCGCAACAGTGGATGCTCGTAGGGCTTAGCAGTCGTTTGGTTATTGAGATCATTTAACTCGCCCAACAGTTGGCGGCTCACGTTGTGGCTTTTGAGGGCCTCCGCTTCCGATTGAGTCTTCGGTTCCTGTTCCTTTTTTGAAAGCTGTTTTTTCTTGCTTGAGGAGAGTGTTAGTTTAGCGAATTTTTCTTTGATCGGTACATTGACTGTGGTCGGATCAACTGTTTTGAACAGTTTAAATCCATTTGACGTCGCCATTTTGCTGGCGTTGTTCGAAACTAACTGTAAAACTTCGGCAGAAGAGCGACAACGCGAAACGAACCAAAAACAAAAATACAAATCTCTCGCGGGCGTCCGAAAACAAATTGAGCATTAGCTTAGTGATGGTAGTTTATGAGCTAATGAACGAACTAATGTTCGTTGGAGTGCCCAAGATCTTGAAAAAATAGTGCATTTTTGAAAACTACTACACTTGTTACATTTGTATTAAGGTAATATTTTAAGTACATAAATTAGCCTTGGTTTGCAGAAAAAAAATATTTGCTTTTATTATTATTTGTTCAACTATCGCTGAGCTGGTGTAACATAATACAATTACCCAACACTAAAATGTCCGTTCGCTCTTATCGATGAATTTGAAAAATTACGATATGTATATCGTCGCGGCAGCTCGACTGACAACAATAACAATAGCAATTTTAGTTTAGTTTGTTTGTTTGCTTGTTTTGACCATCTGTCCTTATGGCTCTCAGCGCCATCAGCTCGCTATCTTCCAAGCTGTCTTTGGGTCTGCTGAATTTTATATTGGCCGTCAGTTCCGGATGGGCACTCAAACACTACAGCGTTGGCCGGCATGCTCTGGTCGCCTATGGATTATTCTTTGCACATAGCGTCTTCTGTATTCTGCGCTACACGCATCCTAATCCCGGCCAGGTGCAGCGGCGGATTTGCGACCAGTCTCTACGGTATGCGCCGGTCATCTTCGTCACACTAATCGTGGGTCAGCTGCAAAGCATTTCGGATGTCAATCAGCTAAGTGCTGGCAGCAGTAGTTGGCGCTATGTAGTCCTCGTCCTATACTCCAGCATCTTGACACTGGCCAGCGTGCGCAGCTGCCTCAGCGAGAAGTCGCCGCCTGCGACGGTTCTGGTCAAATTGGAACGCTTCAATCTCACAGTGTGCGTGCTATGGAATGTCTATTGCCTTTGGCGCATTGCCATATTCGATGAGTACTGGTGGTCCTTGGGCTTGGCCCTGTTGGTTCTGCTTAATAACTTTGTGCTTTGGCGCTTAACGCTCCGCTACAACATCACAGCCCTGGAGGTGGAAACTGTTGGCATGTGTTTTTCTGTTATTTTCGCCATTAATGCCACGCAGGAGCTGCTCGAAAGTAGCAGATGATGACCGACGACGTGACGAGGCATTGTTAACCTTATAATTGATGCTGCATTTAGCACAACAAATTCAAGACATATTTATATTTAGAGTTGATTTTTATACCTTGTTAATTCGAGATTAATTCAAATGGATTTATAGTCAATAAACGAATGTTTTGTATATCCATAACTCATCAAATATCTATAGCTTATACTTATAGATGTCACTGACTGATTGACGATCAGACCATTAGAGATTCATCCAATCTGCTTCAACCTACGTTTCAAAGCTCAACATAAAATAAAAGCGCATCCACTCGCAAATGTTTACCCCATTATCTTTCAACTCATTCATAAAGATCTATGCAAGAATTCATTGGAAATCATTCCACACTCCTCTGTGGAAAAACGAACCTAGATTGCAGGGAGAAACTAAATTTTCGTAGCAACAGTTTTGAACTTATTATCAAAGCTTTACAAAAGTACATTTCACGTACAGCTTCACGTTTTAGGAAAGTACAATCCACGTGTAAAATACCATATAGTATATATGTATATTTGTATATATATGTAAATATCTCTGCCTTTTATTACGAGTACAGACACATACTGTGTACTTGGTGGAAGCAAGCCTCTTAACAAATCAGATACATATATTGAATATGTTTGAGACTTTGCTTAGCCAGGTCAAGTGTATAGCAAGGACAATACAAACATACTTAAGGCTTTAAAAATGTAGTTTTAAGGAAAATCAAGTTGAAAAAAAAAAAAATGATAATTGTAAGAAATATGAAAAACAAATTCAGCCTAATCACTAAGAAATGCTTGAATGTTTGTGGGAGGGGTTCGGGGGAGGCATAAGGAGGAGGAGGGGTAAAGGATTGTTAGGCAGTGTGTTGCGGTACGTCTCTAAGCGTGTGTATTATCATCCTCGACAAAGTCCTTGGCCTGCTCGCGGGTTACACAATCAATGTGGCTGACCTTATTGCGAAACCGTACGCCATAGAACTTGTGCGCATTCTCCAGCAATTCGGGCCGGAACGTGGTGGTAATAAACTGGGCCGTGTCGCTTAGCTCGTGTATCATATCGGCTACCGCCTTGCGATGCATTGCGTCCAGTGCCTAATTGAACAGGAGCTCAGTTAATACAGCCCAAGCTATCAACTGGAAGTCAGCTTACCTGATCGATCTCATCGAATAGATAGAAGGGCGCCGGATCGCACTTCTGTATAGAGAAGATGAGGGCGAGGGCCACTAGAGATTTCTGGCCACCAGATAGCTGATTCATTTCACGCATCTCAGCATCGATGCCGGTAAAAGAGACGCGTATGCCGATGCCCGTGAAGGCATCCGAATTGGCCACCTCCTTTTCCATTTCCTCACCCTCGTTGTCCTTGGTCTTCAGTATCAAGTAACCGGCGCCCTGGGGCACCAGTTTCTTGAAAACCTTGGTAAAGTTCTGGGCGACCTGCTTGAATGTAAACTGTATGGCCTCGACTTTTTGCATCTCCAGCGAATGGATAAGCATGTGTATCTTCTGATCGCCCACATCAAGTTCCTCCTTGCGCCTGTAGAGCTTTTCCTTTTGCTCAGAAAAGCTCAAGAACTGGTCGAGGGCCTTCTTGTTGACGTGATTGTATTTCTTCAGATGCTGATTGGCTTTCTCCAGCTCCTTAAAGATGTTCTTTAGCGAAATGCGTGTGTAGGCGGCATCCACTTGGGGCAGTGCGCCCAAGCTGGCAATTTTCTCGGTGCACTCGTCGATTTTCTGATTTAGCATATTCTCTTTGGTGGTCCATTTTTCCAGTTGTTTGCTATCCTTGTTGATGTTCTCCTCGGCCTCCTTTTCCTTGCGCACATGCGTCTCCAGCTCCAGCTGCAGCTCTTTTTGCAACTGTACAGCCTCATTGACCCGCTTCTCAATTTCCTCCAGATCCGCATTGACCTTCTTAATGCGCTTCTCCGTCGAAACAAGCTCCGTTTTGCAATTGTTAAGCTTACGCTTGCGATCCTCCACAGAGATCTCCTGTAGCGCCTGTATCAGCTCATCGCGTCGCCTGAACAGATTATTAATCAGCAGATTGTCCAGCTTATTTTTGCGCACTTCCAGCTGCATACGCTGCGTGAAGGCCTCCTTGTTCTCCTGGTTGAGACGCCGTATATCTTCGTTCAGCTGATCGATTTCACCCTGATCCTGCTTGGATAGTGTTGACATAAGCTCCTGCTTTAGCTCCGCCTCCAGGCTGGCCTTGGTGCTGTTCATCGCCTCCAGCGAGGCCTTGCACTGCGCCAAGGAACGCTCTTTGGGCGCCCGATATTTCTCGATGCGCACCAGCTCTTCCTTCATCAACCGTATCTCGCCCTGCACCTTCTCGAACACATCCTTCGACTTGCCCTGTTTGGTCTCCGTTTTCTGCATATCGGACACAATCGAATTGATACTGTTCTCGGTCGACTTCAGCTCATTCCGCAGCTTGCTCAGTTGCTTCTCGAACTCGGTTATCTGTTGCGTGTACTCAGTGCGCTTCTTTTGCATTTCGAGACGGGAACGCGACGTATTGAAATATCCGCCGGTGAGGGAACCCTTCGAGGACACCTGATCGCCATCGAGTGTAACGCAATCCAGGCCCGTGCTCTTTGCCAACTCCGTGGCACGCTCCAGATTACGACAGATCAGCGTCTTGCCAAAGATATAACGCAGTGCCTTGTCGTGCTGTTCATCGTATTTGAGCTTCGATATCATTGGTATCGAGTCCGGATCATCTGGATAGTCGTGTATCTTCACTTGGAGCCGATTTAGCGGCATGAATGTCACCTCGCCGGGCAGCTTCAGTTTGTTCATCTCCTTGAGGATCTGTGTGCCCTCGTATTCGGATTCCACAATGTGATGGAACAGGCGATTCGCTGCAGTCACCTCGACGGCCGTATAGATTGTCTTGTCGCAGCTGAAGTTCTCAATAACCGGGCCATAATAGGCGCGTGCTATTGCCGCCGATTGACCGCCGCGTTCCACAAAGCTATCGAGCACCTTGCGCACCGAATCACAGCCATTAAGTATAGGCTTGCCGGCCATGCTGCGCAGCGCCTGATCTGCGCGCGACAGCTCTTCCTTTTGGGTCTGCAACTGTTGGGTCATTTGTGTTTCCTTACGCCACAGCTCGTTGCGCATGGACTGGTGTTGGTCTTTTGTTTTCTTCAGTTCATAGTACTTTTTATTGTGTTCATCTATTTGGAGGCGCAGCTGTTCCAGCTCGGAGGAGTGCTCCTCGATCTTGGTGCCCAGATCTTTCTCGGAGGTTGCATCCTTTTTCAGATCCTCGACCAGTTTGGCGTGATGATTGATTTTGTCCTTGGTCTGTTTGCTGATCGATTTCAGCTCATTGTGTATCCATTTGTCGCGATCCTCACGCGATGAGAACTGTGAGCCACGCCCCTGTTTGGCATAGAGCTCCTTGCGCTTTTGCTCCTTGAGCTGCAGTTCGCGCGAGCAGTCCTCCTCCTTGCGCTTCATCGACTCGTATTTGGGCTTTACGTCGTCCAGTTCGTTTTCGCGCTCTGCTATGGTCACCTTGAGATTCTTGAGCTCTTGGTCGGCGCGCTCCTTTGACTTGTTGTCACCCTGTACCTCGTCATTTAGATCGACTATGGTCAGGTCTAGTTTGGTCTTTTCGCGCAGCAATTGCTGCTGTTCTGTCATTAGAACTGAGCGTTCCTCCTTCGTGCTGAGTACCTTTTTCTTGGCTTCCTTAAGGTTCTTCTGCACCTCCTTGATCTTCTCCTGTGCCTTTTGTATCTCAATGTTATAGTTCTTCTTCTTGTCCGATGAGGATTTGCGCTGCAGTAGCAGCTCCTCGAGTGCGCGCCGAGTATCCTTCAGCTCCGTCTCATAGCGTATGTACTCCAGTGTGCGTCTTGTTTTATCCCATTTCTGATACTCCTTCAGCTCCTCCTTCTCTTCTTCCAGC